TGTTTTTAAATTAATTAATTAATTTATTTATGTTTGGCTGTGTTGGGTCTTCGTTGCTGTGCGCAGGCTTTCTTTAGCTGTGGCAAGCGGGGGCTACTCTTCGTTGCGGTGTGCGGGCTTCTCATTGTGGTGGCTTCTCTTGTTTCAGAGAACGGACTCTAGGCATGCGGCCTTCAGTAGTTGTGGCACGTGGGCTCACTTGTTGTGGCTCACAGGCTCTAGAGCGCGGGCTCAGTAGTTGTGGCGCACAGGCTTAATTGCTCCCCGGCATGTGGGATCTTCCTGGACCAGGGCTCGAACCCATGTCCCCTGCATTGGCAGGCTGATTCTTAACCACTAAGCCACTAGGGAATTCTGATGTGGACCATTTTTAAAGTCTTTATTGAATTTGTTACAATATTGCTCCTGTTTTATGCTTCAGTTTTTTGGCCGTGAGGCATGTGGGATCGAACCCACACCCCTGCACTGGAAAGTGAAGTCTTAACCACTGGACCGCCAAGGAAGTCCCTATAAGGTATTCTATTCCCTAGAGAGACAAGAAAATATTTTTTAAATGTTTGATTATATTTCCTAGTCCCAACCCTGAAATTGCCCAGTTCTACATCTTTAAAACAGCCTGCAAGAGTGCACTAGGGGAACTTCCCTGGTGGTCCAGTGGCTAAGACTCCACACTCCCAATGCAGGGGGCCCGGGTTTGATCCCTGGCTGGGGAAATATATCCCACATGCTGCAACTAAGAGTTCACATCCCAGTTCGCATGCCACAACTAGAGATCCTGCATGCAGCAACGAAGATCCTGTGTGCCGCAACTAAGACCTGGCCCAGCCAAATAAATAAATATTAAAAAAAAAAAGATGGACTTCCCTGGTGGTGCAGTGGTTAAGAATCTGCCTGCCAATGCAGGGGACACAGGTTTGAGCCCTGGTCCAGGAAGTTCCCACATGCCACAGAGCAACTAAGCCCATGCACTACAACTCCTGAGACTGTGCTCTAGAACCCCTGCTCTGCAACAAGAGAAGCCACCGCAATGAGAAGTCCGAGCACCACAGTGAAGGTAGTCCCCCACTCGCTGCAACTAGAGAAAGGCTGCGCGCAGCAATGAAGACCCAACACAGCCAAAAAAAAAAAAGAATGTACTAGGTACCTGAATTCACAAGGATGGAAGTTCCCATTTGATAGTTCTAAATTATTATGTGGCTCTGTCCCCTGCCTCTCAGAGGAACCAAGGACTGGGAGGATAGTGGGGTGAGTCCAAAGAGGATATGCCTCCTTTACACAGTAGCAGGCAAGCTCCAGGCCTCAGGGTTATCATGCTCCTTGAGGTCTTGGGACTGGGTAAATATATCTGGTATCCTGCCTGGGTCAGCATCCATACAGACACAAATATCCATCCACAAATAAACGTGCTTTCCTCCTAGGCTTTTCCCCCAGCAAATAATGGTTGGCATGCCTTCCACTCTGCATTACCTTGAAATCGTCATTTGTCATTGAATGCCAAATATTACTTCTGTAAGATAGCCAGGAGCCTAGATTTTGTTGCCTTTACTTCCATACCTCTTGCTCTTCAACCTGCTATAACGTTCCTTCCATTCTTCTGAAACTTTCCTGCAAAGATCATCTGTAACCTCTTAACTGCAGAATATAGGTGAGGTTGTTTGATCTTTTGGTTTTTTTGACAAAAAATATATTTGTTTATTTGAAATTTAAATTTCACTGGTTTTCCTATATTTTATCTGGCTGCCATGCCAGGAGCATCCTATTTTACAGTGAAATCATGCCTAAAAGGAAGACAATCAGCAGCAGCCTAAGTTTCACGATGAAGTATTTAAAACCACTATGACATGCATTGTTGAAAGAAGAACACAAACAAAAACTTATGTTAAAAAACATAGGCTATACTAAAGTAGAAAACAAAATCCAAAGGGAAAGATAAGTCATCACTCAAAGATACTTTTTTTTTGCCTGCGGTATGCGGGCCTTTCACTGTTGTGGCCTCTCCCGTTGCGGAGCACAGGCTCCGGACGCGCAGGCTCAGCGGCCATGGCTCACGGGCCTAGCCGCTCCACGGCACGTGTGGGATCTTCCCAGACCGGGGCATGAACCCATGTCCCCTGCAACAGCAGGTGGCCTCTCAACCACTGTGTCACCAGGGAAGCCCTCAAAGGTCCTTTTAATACATGTGGATGGAACCCCATTGGGTTCCAGTATCCTCCTAAGTTCTTCACATGTCATCTATCCTTTGTAACACGGAGGTGACAAATCATCCTGAGTTCCCTTATTGGAGCAGAAGGGACTTGGACCTGCGTGCGGGGTCCTGGGAAAGTCATTTGGAGTGTGTTTTCTGGTGGCATTTGAAAGTCCCCAGCTGACGGAAGGCACTGTGACACTCGGGACACAAGCAGGGTTTGAGCACAGAGTGAGTGTGTCAGTGAATGTTGAGGTTCCCGCTGTGGCTAAAGACTTTGTCACAGCGCTCACATCGGAAAGGCTTCTCCTTGGTGTGGATCCTCTTGTGAGCGTGCAGCGTGGAGTCGTGGGTGAACTTCTTGGGGCAGAGATCACAGCAGTATGGCTTCTCTCCTGTGTGGATTTGCTGGTGAACCTGCAGGTCCGAAGGCTGCATAAACCCTTTGGAACAGATATTTCATTTAAAGGATGTCTCTCCCACGTGTGTCCTCTGTTGAAGGGTAAGCTGAGATGGATAAGGAAATCTCTTCTTGCATACCATATTCATAGGGTGCCCATCCCCAGGCTTCTTTTCCCTCAGGAAGACTGGTTGGTCCCACTGTGCTAGGTGTACCAACAGAATGGGACCCAAGTTGTCCTGAGAATTCTTCTTTGTCCAAAGATGTGGCTTCTTCCTGACGCACTTCTTGGGAAGTGGGACTGTTGGCCTGTTTCCATTTGAAACATCTTAGACTCCTTAGAGGACCTCTTCTGTATCCACTCTTAGTGGAAACTTCTCCCTCAGGACCCTTGAGAATTTCAGGCTCTTGAGATGCTGTTTGATCTTACTCAACCTTTCTCTGGGATCTGACACTATTGACCAATCCTCTTATACTTCCTTTGCCATTATGACACCAGTTTACCTCCTACATCTCTGATGGCTTCCAGAATTCATTCTCAACTCCTCCCTTTCCCTTACCATCCTCCCCACAATCCTGTGAATCAACAAATCCTGAGCAACCACAGGCTTATTCTTAAGCCTTCTCCAGTAGTCAACCTGCTACTGGAGTTGACTTTCTGAAACATATTCCTCCAGCCACCTCTAGGTTTGTGTAATATATTACATTGTATCTTTTTAAAAATAAATTTATTTTTGTTTGCGTTGGGTCTTTGTTGCTGCTGGCGGGCTTTCGGAGAAGGGGGGCTACTCTTCGTTGCAGTGCACGGGCTGCTCATTGCCGTGGCTTCTCTTGCTGCAGAGCATGGGCTCAGTAATTGTGGCCCATGGGCTTAGCTGCTCCACGGCACGAGAAATCTTCCTGGACCAGAGCTCTAACCCGTGTCCCCTGCATTGGCAGGTGGATTCTTAACCACTGCACCACCAGGGAAGCCCTACTACATTGTTTCTTAATCATCTATTTATACACGGCTGTTAACTTCTCTAGACTCTTAACTCCTGGAGGGCAGGAACTGATCTTATCCATTAGGACACTGGCTTTGGCAGGGTGGGGAGTAAGGGATGTATTTCCGAGACACTCAACAATGAGGTAGCATTTCCACTGCGTTCCCAAGTGCTCAGGTCTAGCCGGTTCCCCAACCCTAGAGCATATGCAGTAGGAACGGGGATCCTCTTCCCAAAGTTGCAACAAACCCTAGATTCTCATCTCATTTCACCCCGGTCCCGGCCTGCCAGGCTTCCCCTTTGATCCTCCTCAAGCCTTGTCTTGGAAAGGGTGCCCTCGAGGGCTCCTGGTAGCTCTCTCCACCGATTTTGCGTAGGCAATTAGTGTTACGTTACCCTGACGCAGAAAGGCACCCTTCATTTTAGGGCTTCTTTCCTTCAATTCGGACTGGGCGGAATCGCAGTGGGGAAAGAGCGAGAACCACTTTAGAA